GTGCGGCGATTGGGGCTGATCCGTATAGCGATCCCCAAAAAGGGATCGCTATACGGATTCTTCGTTAAACGGTGCGCTCGTTAAGCGAGGCACCACTGTATATTATACTGCATTATCAGCATACCTGGAGGAATGCCAGAGTACCAAGTACAAAACATTTTTAAAAGAAAGCGAAGGAAACTTAAAAACAACAACAGCCCAGTGAGAACTGAGTGAATGATTGTTAGCAGCAATGGGCTATCAGTTCAGTACTAGCTGGAAAGAAAAAAAAATCAGAAATGTACAACTGGCTTACAACTGGAATACAGTGGTACCTCGCTTAACGACAATAATCCATTCCAGCAAAATTGCTGTACAATGAAATCAACGTCAAGCGAAACTTTAAAAAACACCCCATTAGAATGCATTAAAAACCGGTTAATGCGTTCTAATGGGCGAAATACCTCACTGTCCAGCGAAGATCCTCCATAGGGCGGCCATTTTCTGGGGCCTGTAATGCGAGGAATCCGTCCTTAACACAGTGGGGAGCCATTTTGCACAGCAGGGACATATTTTGAAACCTGACGATCAACTGTTTTCTGATCATCGTTAAGCGAAAAATTGGTTCCCGAAGCAGGGAACCGATCATTGTCAAGGTTTTTTTTTCATATTTAAAGATCATTGTGAAGCGATTTCGTCATGGAGCGGGGTATTCGTTAAGCGGGGCACCACTGTACTATAAACCTCCATTCTCCATTCTGCTGCCCTCCAGATTGGGTAGATTACAACTTCCATCCTCCCAACCATGCTTGGCTGAGGATCATGGGACTTGTGGTCTAGCACGTTAAGAAGGTCCCAGGTTGGAAAAGGCTTGGATGGAATAGATTGGAAGAAGACATGACTGACTGACACCCCTTCCCCAAAAAAGGAGGAATGAGAATACACTGCAACATTTTATGGCAGCTCCCTCTTTGGTCTATTAGACACCGCAGGGATGGTTGTATTAAACTGAAAGGTGGTTTGTACAAAAAAAGAAGAGGAAAGAATTGCATTTACTTGTCTTGCAGCTGAACTCTGTGGCCCCAGTTCAAGGATTTAACGTGGTTTTGGACAGCTTTCGCCATAGTGGTCCTGGCGAGAGAGAAAAACACACACCCCAACACACATAGGTAAATCAGCAACATTCAGTTGTGTGTTCTTGCATTCCCTCCCCCAACAAGACCAGCAGAAAATGAGCAGTGCTTTAACATCATTTTTTTTTAAAGTAGTTCAGAAAATGGATGCTCAAGTTAGCCTTCCTCAGATAGGGAACACCCTCCAGATCAGTTAGACTACAAATCCCATCATCACAGCTGACTGGGAGTGTTGGGGATTGTAATCTTAACATGTTTAGAGATGGTGCACATTTCTTGATGCTCTGATTAATACAAGACGGCATTATAGCTCAGTAAGTTATTTTACTATCCAGCGCAGTAACTGGCTTTAAATTTGTTTTAGCTCTAAAATACCACAAGCTATTACTTAGCGCAATAATGCCAAATGAAGATAGTAAATAATGGGGCATTCAGGATCACGATGCAACATGATTTCCTAAAACAGCTGAAAAAGAATCTAGAGGTTTCGTGTACAAAAAAATATATATGAGCCAACGGGAGTTTTCTCCTTCCTTGTAAATTAGGCCCAGTAGATAGAAAACGATCAACTTTGGTACACGGACTGCTTTCTTTGCATGAATACCAAATATACAGATCCTCAGGTAAGTAATCCACAGTTATTCTCCGCTGAAACAGGTACAGACGCAGCAGACTGAGTTTGCTGGATGGAAATCTTATGCCCGCCCACCGAAAAGCAAGCAAACTAAACCCACTAATGTTTCTTCTAAGAAAACATGAACCAAACATCACTTATAAGGCCACAATCTTTGTTGAAGTTATTGCAAACTCGCATGCTACCTTTAGTAGGTTTGGTCAGAAGGGACTTTTCTGGGTTGTAGTGAACTGTCAATTTATCCACTACTAACCAATTGTTCCCTGCTGCTTCTGATTTCAAAGCTACACCTCTCTGCTTTTGAGCCTTTTGAATCCATTTTTTAAAAAAGAGGAGCGGGTGTTTTGTAAACTTAATGGCTCTTAATTGCCCAAGCAGGACAAAAGCAGCCTCAAATATTTTGCTATAAAGCAAGGGATTGTTTTTTTAAAAAAAACCAGAGAAATCTGGTCATTCGTACTCAGAAAGTCCCAGCGCTGTGACCTCGAATTCACCACACTGGTGGATGCTACTACTGCAAATATATTCTGTTATGATCTATCTATTGTACCAAAAGACTGGGTTTCAGGGTGGGGGGAAATGCCCGAGAGAGTTCCACAGACAACACATTGTGATTTTAGTTGGCTGAAATAAATGCCGTGGATTAATATTTTGTTATACATCCATAGGACACAATATATGGATGTGAAGATTTATATTACCAGTCATGGTTGACAGGATGGGATATATTCCAGCCGTAACGCTGGGCGTCTTTGAGGGAACCTCCCAGAAGGGCCGCATGGTGCATAAGTTTTTTAGGGATGCACCCAACATTCACGCAGGTACCTCCGAGCCCCCATTTGGTTCCTGCAGGTAAAAATAATAATCATTAGATGTCTTGATGTATTGATTCAGAGCTGTCTGGAGCAACATGGGAAAATCCTCCGTCTCGGCCCTTTGAGCTCATGTCAAAATGAACACTCCTGTCCTTTCTGCCAATAGAGTGGTGCCTCGCTAGACAATGATAATCCGTTCCACTGAAATCGCTGTTTAGCGAAATCATTGTCTAGCAAAAAGCATTTCCCCATTGGAATGCATTGAAACCTGTTTAATGCATTCCAATGGAGAAGAATTGTCATTGTCTAGCGAAGATCGGGCATAGGAAAGCCGCTTTGCGAACCGCCGATCAGTTGTTTAAATAGCTGTCTTGTGAAGCTTAGGTCCTGAAAACACCCGTTTTGCGAGCACAGAGGGAGCTGTCAAAATCGTTGTCTAGCGAAAATCGGTTTGCGAAGCAGGGACCAAACATTGTCTAGCGAAATTCCCCCATAGGAATCACTGTTTTGCGAATCGCTATAGCGATCGCAAAAAGTCAATGTCTAGCGAAAAAACTGTCATGCGGGGTAACTGTCTAGCAGCAAGGCACCACTGTATGTTGCCCCATAGTGCTTAAAGCACTCTCTGGGGGTTTTACAACCTACTCCCGCAAACAACACTTTGTGCTTAAAGCACTCTCTGGGCAGTTTACAACCTACTCACGCAAACAACACTTTGCGAGCCAGGTACTCAATTTACTCAGCTTGGAAGGATGGAAGTCAACCTGGAGTCAGCTACGTAAGCACAGGATTGAACTCAGGTCTTGCGCAGAGTCCTGACTGCAGGACTGCAGTTGAACCCTTGCGCCGCAAGGCTCTTATTTATTCACAGAGAGTCACGTGACTTTAGGGGCACCCAACAGAAGAGCAGGCGATATCCAAACTCTCATAACCTTAAATGCTAAAAGTCAAGCATTTATTTACAACCAAGATTTGTCCTGCTTCCTACCTTTCGGAGAGGGGTCCACATAATCTAACACGGCCACCTTCTTCCCAAACTGAGAAGCTTGAAAAATAAGAAGAGATTGTCAATCAATTTAAAGAAAAGATGAAGCTATCATAATGATGCTGCCCGAGTAAGCCAGTGATTGATTTTTTTTTTTGCTCGGGAAACTGAAATTAAGCTTCTTCATTTGTGTTTTGCTCTCCGCCAATTAACTGAACAAAAGTTCAGGATGCTTTGGATTGGCTGAAATTCTCTGGGCTCAGCTGCACCTTCAGATGCCACCAACAGGGGAAAACCTTCAGCACTCTAACCATTATCCCATATTGCTTCGGCTAAGGCTAGACTGCTATATACAGTGGTGCCCCGCATAGCGATGATAATCCGTTCCGGATAAATCGTCGCTATCCGGAAACATCGCTATACGGGGCAAAAAACCCCATAGGAACGCATTAAACCCTGTTTAATGCGTTCCTATGAGGACAAAACTCACCATTATGCGAAGATTCCCCATACGGCCACCTTTTTCGCCGCCTCGGTAAGTGAGGGCAGGGCGCAAAAACGCTGTGGGCAGCCATTTTCTTGATCCGGCGGCCATTTTGGATCCGCCGATCAGCTGTTCCCAAAACATCGCAGTGCGAAGATCGGTAAGCGAAACGCTTACCGATCATCGCAATGCGATGTTTACCCTATGTAAACATTGCGATGTTTACCCTATGTAAACATTGCAATGCAATCGCAAAAGCAATCGCAAAAAACGCGTTGCTATGCAGATTCGTCGTTAAACGGTGTGTTCATTATGTGAGGCACCACTGTATACAGTATGTGTGTGTGTGTACAATAAATACAGGGATTTTGTGACACAAACCTTCTTTCGCACAAGCAAGGCCACCCGATCCTCCTCCAATGACTAACAGGTCATACTCATTCTCCCCTAAAAGAAAGGGTATCAAAATAATAATAATCAGAGAGAAGCATTACATTTAAAAATAAAATAAAATTCCATGCCTTAATTGCATGCTACACTCTAATACTTTTGCTAAAAACAACAACAAATCAATGCTACTGTGTAGAAAGCGGCGGAGGCCTGCAAAAGGAAATTACACCATGTTAAGAGTTTCCTGGATCAAGAGACTCACCGGCGAAGAAGTACGGAAGCAAATGAATAAAAATCAAGAAAGTATAAAGGTCATGGCAGTGCAGAAAAGTCAGAGGACTTTGATCAAGGGAATAAAACTGCTGGATAGCTCAGTGGTTTAGTCATCTGGCTGTGGATCCAGAGGTTGGGAGTTCGATTCCCCACTCTGCCTCCCTGACTGGACTCGATAACCCAGAGGGTCCCTTTCACCTCTGCAGTTCTAAGATGATTCTAAGTGCAGGAAGGAGATTTTTCTGGGCGACAAACCTTGAAGACTCATTTGGATGCAGCATGACATCATCATTTAGGCGCTGCTGTATCCAAAAAGACAGCCACAATGATGCTTCTGGTCAGAAAGGAACAACAAGAGGTGCTTAACGCTGCTAGACCTATTACCCAGTCTACAAGCTTCTTTCTGTCTTCTGCTTCTAATTCAACCTCCTTGAAAGCATCAGTCATAGAATCATTGAGTTCGAAAAGACCTATAAGGCCATCAAGTCCAACCCCCTGCCCAATGCAGGAATCCAAATCAAGGCAGATCTGAGAGATGGTTGGCCAATTTCCTCTTGAATGCCTCCATCCTTGGAGTGCTCACCAAGGTAATTAGTTCCATTGTTGTACTGCTCTAACAGTTAAGAAGTTTTTTCTGTTATTCAGCCAAAATGCAAAATATCTGTTTGTGTTTTAAACTCACGAATTACAGACATACTACCTATTCACGAGGTTCTGAACGCTAAATTGAACACAGAGTGGAGAGTGAAAGAGATAAGCCACACGGATATTCATCTTAAGTTGTGTTTCTCACTTCTGTTGCAATAGCTGAAAACATTATTAACAGCCTTTAACACCTACCCTGTGCAAAGGTGCACAGGAATCCATGGCACAGCAAATCATACAAGCCGCAATGAAAGAAAGCATTTCAATGATCCACAATTTGCATCCAGAATCCCCTGATTCAGAATGAGCAGAACACAAAGTGGTAAAATGGAGAAACTAAATATTTCAGCCGGCATTGTGATACACGAATTATCTTAAGAGCTGGGCAGAATGTAGATTACAATGCAGTGACATATCTCTGAGTAACGTGAAAGAAATCAGCAAATAATTGTGATTTCAAGCAGCTTAACTACAGAGTTTTTCAGCGAGATTAGATAGCCAAAAAAAGGGGGAGGGGGAGGGACACAGAAAAAAACTCTTGTTTTGAAAGACTGTGAGCTCAATTCAGTTTTCCGGTCCTGGAAGCAAATTCCTGGATCCAAAAAGCTGTCCGGGAAGACTCTGTTCTTTAAGACCAAGAATTAAGTCTTTTGTATCCAGCACTGCTTGGTGAAAATTTGTCAAGAAACAACACAGAAATCAAGGAGGAAAGGAGATTTTACAAGCCTAACTCTTTCCTACCAGGGTTATCTCGAACGCTGCGAAAGACGCAGAGCAGATGGTCCCTCGATGTGTTTGCGAAGGCATGCCTGAAAGAAAACAGCATGCCCTTTGACTCAAGACCCAGCCTTGACCCCAGCTAGCTTCTGTTTGCATGTGTGTTTTTTTGCAATCTACATTTTGGGCAGGGCTGGCTTTTCAAATCCTTTGGGGGAGCATCAGGGACAGGATGTTTCATGCCTGTGGCTTGTTACTGCCCCCCAAAAAGAAGGAGGGTTGTGAAAGCCACTACAAACTGGAGTACGATCAACTAGACAGCGGTAATGCGCAGAGAGGGAAAAGAGCATCAGCAAAACAAAACAAATTAAAGGCCCTTCATGACAGCCTAGTACAAACAGAACCGAGAGCCAGCGGTCTGGCTGTCACTTCCCACAACGCCAGACTGCTCCCCTTCAGTAGGGATCCCCCCATTTAAAGCAAATATCACAGAAACGAGAGAGGAAGTGAAATCTCAGAAGGCCACCTCATCCGATCAAATGTGACAGCCTGCAGCTTCCTGTCTCGCATTCAGATCAGACTTGTGAGTAGATCCGGTCATCTACTGCCTCCCTCTTTGCCTCGGCCTGGAAAAGTGTCTCTTCAAACTGGGAGAGGCCATGATGCACCACCTGCCTCCAGGCTGAACACTAAAATGTGATTTTAGTGGTCTAATAAATGTGTCACTCACTCTCGTCTTCAGATTGTGTACAGCAGTGGTTCTTAACCTTTGTTACTCGGATGCTTTTGAACTGCAACTCCCAGAAACCCCAGTCAGCACAGCTGGTGGTGAAGGCTTCTGGGAGTTGCAGTCCAAAACTCCTGAGTAACTCAAGGTTAAGAACCAGTGGTGTACAGGGACCACACCACTTTTTTTCTTTTTATTCAAGCTTGCCTTATTACTTTTACTTCCTAAGGAAAAGGTAAGCTAAATTTTATTAACTTTATGACAAGAAAATTAATTTCACTTTTTAAAAATTTCAAATAATTTTCCACTAAGTTTTCGGATTGACATTTAATGTTAAACTACAAATTGATAGTTGTTTTTTTGAAAAGCAGTTGAATGATGGTAATGGAGAATTGGAAAGCCATTGGAGTTTCTCAGAAATCAGATATGGGGCATGATGCTGAAAAATTTAGAAACCACTGACTGAATCCAAGTCATCATGTTTTGTACATATATCATGGTGTGGAACTCAAGCCCCACCAAACATTGTTAAATTACAGAACTCCGCAAGCCAAGCAAGGTTTTCTCCCATTTTCCTTCTTTTCCTCAAACCTGAAAAACTGTTCAAAAAAAATCACCCAAGCTTCAGGAACAGATTTAGGGTTAGAACTCCCTCCTTCCGATTCTGTTGATGTAAGCAGTACTGTTAATGATATGACAGAACCAGATGCACTCCAGGGTTTCCTTCATTGAGTGCTGGGCTAATTCTTCTTTCAGGCTGAGTTGTTTTGCAAATAGGGACATATCATCTTACAATCCTAACCAATTATACAACCACAAACAAATCTTTAACACCTGTTTAAACCAGTGGTTCCCAACCGTGGGTCCCCAGATGTTCTTGGCTTAAAACTCCTGGAAACTTTCACCACTAGTTGTGCTAGCCAGGATTTCTGGGAGATGTAGTCCACGAAAATCTGGGAACCATTGCTCTGCATGAAGGAGGTTTGAATGCACAAGATTGGTCTGTACTCTGAAATAATTTCACATTTGATGAGCAATAGTTGATTCTAATGCAGCGCCAAATCCGAACACCCAGTGGCATTTTTAAAAGCTAACAGACCGTAATGAGCCTTTTGTGGGCCTGAGTGCAGAAAAAGTGCTAGTTTTTAAGAGCCCACATGATATGTTTGGTGTGTGTGTATGTGTTATGGCTCTGCTTGTATACATAGCCGGTTGGATAGCTCAGTAAGTTAGGTATGTGGCAGTGGAGCCAGAGGCTGGGAGTTCAATTCCCCACGTTTCTGTGTTGCCTGGAAATGTGTTCAGATATTTTATTTGCTAAGGGAACTGCCATGGGAAAGGGGAAATTATCCCATTCATTTCTGCATATGCTTGGGGTGAGTCAGCCAGCAAACGAGCTGGAGTTTGAAACAAACAGAGCCAAGGATAAATGGTGTTTTCGGGACCACAGCAGGCAAACACAAACAAGCTCAGCTTGATTTATGTCAGTGGCAGAAGCATTCCCCCCCCCCAAGACTTGGAAAGAAAGCCCGAAGAATAAGAAACTGGCTAGATAAACAGTATTATAACCATAACGAGCAGGAAAAGCTACATCTTTCCAGGTTCCTACCAAGTGGGAAGCTGTTGTGTCCCCATACAGTGGTGCCTCGCTAGACAGTTACCCTGCATGACAGTTTTTTCACTAGACATTGGCTTTTTGCGATCGCTATAGCGATTCGCAAAACAGCGATTCCTATGGGGGAATTTCACTGGACAATGTTTGGTCCCTGCTTCGCAAACCAATTTTCGCTAGACGACGATTTTGACAGCTCCCTCCGTGCTCGCAAACAGGTATTTTCGGGACCTAAGCTTCACAAGACCGCGATTTAAACAGCTGATCGGCGGTTCACCAAGCGGCTTTCCTATGGCCGATCTTCGCTAGACAACAACGATTTTTCCCCATTGGAACGCATTAGACAGGTTTCATTGCATTCCAATGGCGAAATGCTTTTCTCTAGACAATGATTTCGCTAGACAGCAATTTCAGTGGAATGGATTATCACTGTCTAGCAAGGCACCACTGTACTTTTATTTATCCGTTAGTCACATTTATACCCTGACTTTCCTCCAGGGGGCTCAAGGTACGCTATTACCTGCTCCCTCCCTTTTTTTCCCCTCACCTCTGCGAGGTAGACCAGGCTGAGAGATGGTGGCTGGGCCATCATCAACTAGTGAGTCTCATGGGCCAGTTGGGATTTGAACCCAGGTCTCATGAGACATGCCCCAACACCCTAACCACACTGGCTCTTGAAGGTTAGGTCTGCCACACAGAAAACAACACCAAAGGACCCAGGTAGTCTTGTCTTGCTCATCTTACGCCTACAGCTGCCCACAAGAAAGACGCAGAACTCTCAGAAATGGGAGTCCCAATCCTATAATGGCTAACCTGGTGGACTCTGGACTGCCAGAAAGACAAACGGGCGGATCCTTGAGCAGATCAAAACTTAACCTTCTCTAGAAACAAAGACGATGAAAAGGAGGCTGTCAAACTTTGGGCACATCATGAGAAGACAAGAAGTCCCCGGAAAAGACAATAATGCTAGGAAAAGTTGAAGGTGGCAGGGAAAGAGGAAGACCGGCTGTGTGATGGATTGCCTCCCTACGAAGTGACACCTTTGAATCTACAAGAGTTGAGCAGAGCTGCTCCCGAGAGGCTGGAATTCATACTCATTCATAGGGTCACCGTAACTAGGAAATGATCTGACAGGAAACAACAACAACAACAACAACAACAACAACAACAACAACAACAACAACAACAACAATAACAATGGTGTGCCTGCAATATCGTCCTTTTTGGACGTGAAAGAAATAGGATTTTCTTCGATGCATGCTGAGTGTTGTTGATTTGAGCCGGCTTTCTGAATGCTGTCGGTTTTAGATCCTCCGCCACTTGCATTTTTAATAGTTGTCGCCGTGCAAAGTGCCTTTGAAATATGAATGGAATGACCCCATGCAAATATGATGACTAACAGTAGCCACATGCTGGAGTTAAGGTGGGAGTCCCATACACCAACATGTGGTCTCCAAGAGGTTGCTGGGCTCCTTCACCTCTAGCCGGCATAGCCAACGATGAGGGATTTTGGGTCTTGTTGTCCTCCAGCAATGCCTGGAAGGCCACTCGTTCCCGATCCTTGATGCACAACACTTACATAATTGTTCATTTGAAGGCACTGCTTTTCTGTTCCAGAAAGACCATGGGGGGAAAAACATGACATTTTAAGCAAACATGCCTATGATCGGATTGCTTGTCACTTTAAAATAAACAAAAACCACAGCAAAACAATCTTGGAGCGGCTTCTGGGTGCACAGATTTCATCCATGCCTCCAACCTAACTTTTAAAAAGTGCTAAATTCATTCACAGCAGGATTGATTCCCCACCCCACCCCCCTTTCCTACTCTTTAGTACAAAGCTCATTTAAAATGAGAAAAAGGGTTGGACTACAAAGCCCAGAATCCCAGGCCAAACTGTCGAGGGGGGATTCTGGGACTTTTACTGCCCAAGATACTAATTTCTCCCCATTTTTGCACCGTTTCCTTTTGGAGTTTGGATTGCACAGACAGCAATGCAAAAGTGTCCCAATCTGCAGCTTCACCGGTTGAATATCTTCCTGACATGACCATCTGAAGCTTCACCGGTTGAATACCTTCCTGTCTCCAGTTCCCACCCCCTAAAAGCCACCGAGGTTGCTTTCCAGGAAAGGAAAGAAATGATCCCCAGGGAGCCACCGTGCCTTTCCTAAGAGGGGCAACCGGCGCCCACCTGGACCGACCTCCGTACCTGCGGAAAAGGCCCGCCCTGTACGGCAAAGCCCGAGCTGGCGTAGGAAGCGCCGCCGACACGCTCGCCACAGGGCCGCCATGTTGTACGGCAGCCGAATTTTCGGCGCGGGGGGCCTCGCCCAATGCCGTCGCCTCCTCTGGTCACGTGCGGGGCTGCCCAAGCGGCTGCCTGAGGGCTGCGCGGGACACCTCTGAGGGGGGCTGTGTTTTCGGGAGAGGAGGAAAAAAAGGGGGTGAAGGAGGAGGAGAAAGAAGACGCCCTTTGTGTTCGTTTTTCGGGTAAGCGAGGAGCAGACGTCTCATGAGAACCATGAGGGCCTTAAGGGGCGGACCTGAATGAAACCGCAGAGGAGGCAGGCATTGGCGTTGCCACCTATGTGTCTCCCTGGCTGGGCTCCAACAGGTGTAGTATTCCTGGGAAGCCATTCAAAAGGTGCAGCATGGCTGGGTGCAACTGAAGCTGCCTTTTGAGGAATAAATTGGTGAGCTTGGAGTCATTTCACTTTTATCCCCGAGCCATTTCACCTCATCCTTCTGTGGTCAAAAATATTCAACAGGGCCAAGAGAGGGCGAGGGTGGCCAACTTTTTTTCTTGCAGAGGCTCCTGTGCCTTTCCTCAGGCAAGCACTGGTCTCCAAAAAGTGACTCATTCTGGAATTTTCCAGAATCTTCTAATCAATTCTGGGTGTTGGGTCCTGGAAAAAAAAAGCCACCTTTTCCAGCCCTGCAGAAGTTCAACAGGTGCATCCTGTTTTGGCTTGATTTGCCATTGGACCCCATCACTTTAGAAGGGCTTGGAAATGGGTCCAGGGTTGGGCTGTAAGTTTGTTTCTCTTGAGGGAAACAGGGCAGATAAATATGGTAAATATTCTAGCATTACAATGTAACAAAATGCTTGAATTCTGGGACCGAGAAATCAGGAGGTAAGTTTGAAATATTTGTTGGTTATTTCTGTTTTTCCTCAGTGCAATCTTTTCCTAAATGCAGAGGGAGGGGCACGTTGGTGGATATTGAGGCATGTGGCTCACAGAAAGGGGAATTTGGGGGGGGAGCTGTGGATGTTTATACTACAAATGCCATCACCCCGCTCCTGACTGTGCTAAGAATGATGGAAGTTGTAGTCCAGCGGCTTCACTTTGTGCTGCAGATCCATTTGTGAAGCATTTCGGGGAGCGATGGATCTCGGTGCTCATGGAGGGCGGAAATGTAAAGCCAATTAAAACTTCACTTTGTGCTGCAGATCCATTTGTGAGGCATTTCGGGGAGCGATAGATCTCGGTGCTCATGGAGGGAGGAAATGTAGACCCAGGAAGTTCATGGGCGCTGTGAGATGCCTTGTGGATCCTACAATAATGCAAGCCCACATGTTGAAGCCACTTTGTTTCGAACAAGCCATGGTTTAGCGCGAGCCGCGCTTTCTGCGTACGACAAGCCACTTTGGCTAAGCGGAAGTGGAAGCGAAAAAATTCCTGTTTTATGGGTGCCGAAAGGGTGTGTGTGAAAGCAGGGGGTGACCTGAACATATTCTCCTCGTTCTGTAGTTTTATCTGTAGAACATGAATTTTGAACATAGCCATTATCTGGAACGGACAAAACATGGCGTGCTGGGGCAAGAAACGCTGTGTTCACACATGAGGCTCTTTGTTCGGCCTTCCCTCCAGATAACATTTAACCTTTCTTTCCTTATCTATTCTTTGTTATTTTTGCCATCTTGAAGAATTTCCTCATTGTTTATTTCTTACTGTTCATTATTCATTGTTTAATGTCTATTTTTGTATATTTTTATTTTTTGTTATATGTATATGTTATTGTATTTTTACCTGCCTGGAAGCCACCTAGAGTGGTCGTATTGACCAGATAGGTGGGGTATGTATGTATGTATGTATGTATGTATGTATGTATGTATGTATGTATGTATGTATGTATAAATAAATAAATAAATAAATAAATAAATAAATAAATAAATAAATAAATAAATATTCTTGGCCATGCACAATCATACAGGCTGATTTCCACCCCTCTACAATTTTTTGCAGCTGGGTGGATAGCTCAGGTAGTTGGATATAGGACTGCAAAGCCAGAGGTTTCGAGTTCGATTCTCCACAGTGCTTTCTGTAAGAAGAGCCAGCCTGGGTGGCCTTGGGCCAGCTTCACAGTCCCAGGGTGCCCCCTAGAGGAAAGGAAGGGTAAACCACTTCTGAAGACTACCTAGAAAACATTGAAAAGGGTTGCCATAAATCAAAATTATTACAATTTTACCAGGGACGATCCTACCATTAGGCAGACACAGCTATTGGTGGCTTTGCCTCTACATACCAGTTACTGGGAAATGAGCAGGAGGGTTGATTAATGTCCTACTGGCAGTGGCAGGAGGAGAATGATGTACTGGATTAAGCCTGGTGTCTTAATCTGCAGAAGCCTGTGCTGCAGGGTCAGAAGACCAGCAGTCGTAAGATCGAATCCACGCGACGGAGTGAGCGCCCGTTGCTTGTCCCAGCTCCTGCTAACCTAGCAGTTCGAAAGCATGTAAAAATGCAAGTAGATAAATAGGGACCACCTCGGTGGGAAGGTAACAGCGTTCTGTGTCTAAGTCGCACTGGCCATGTGACCACGGAAGATTGTCTTCGGACAAAACGCTGGCTCTATGGCTTGGAAACGGGGATGAGCACCGCCCCCTAGAGTCGAACACGACTGGACAAAAATTGTCAAGGGGAACCTTTACCTTTACCTGATTTTAATAACCTCAGATGCAGGGTGGATATCATAGAATAGTGGAGTTGGAAGGGGCCTGTAAGGCCATCAAGTCCAACCCCCTGCTTGATGCCAGAATGCAAATCAAAGGATACCAGCCAGGTGGTTGTCTTAGTTTCTCTTGAATGCCTCCAGTGTTGGAGCGCTCACCCACCTTGTGGGTTCCATTGTCGTACTGCTCGAACAGTTAGGAAGTTTTTTCTGATATTTAACTGAAATCTGGCTTCCTGTAACTTGAGCCTATTGTTGCGTGTCCTGATCTAAATGAAATTGATTTACATTTAAAATTTTTGACTATTAAATTTAAAACGATTAATTTTTTATTTAAATCAATCTTTAGAGAAAGACATTTATTTTTAATCCACCCTGCTTAAGTGGCCGATGTTAGGAGGTACCAGCCAGATATTCCTTAATTCTTCGACCTCCACTACCAGCTAGCTCTCTTGCCTGTGAGAGCGATTGTCTAGAACTGACCCTGGCTTCATCTCCATGCTTGGAAATGCTGCAAAGAATGCTTATTAATCAGGGCTGTTGTTAAGGTTACAGAAACAGGGACCTGTCAGAATAAATCTACTTGTTGTTTTCTTTCTTTGTTTCATTTAAAACACAGATTTGGAGGTGCAAATCACGTCTGAAATGTGCTTTTAGTGCCAAAGCTGCATTAATTCCTTGAAAGCGTTGATTTCGGGTTTAGCAGGCTAGCTTGTCTATTTGCCACCTACGCTACTGTTTGCTGGTTTGAGTGTCCAGTAATTAGGTAACAGTTAAAGTTCAGCATGTTTATGCAGCCTGGCGTGTGACGGTTGTAAGATAAAGCGATGGGGATCTTGCCGAGATATGTCCCAGCAGCCGTTATGGTTGTCAGCATGATGAAGTTTGTGTTGCTAATTTCTAATTTGTGATTTAATGTTTAGAAGGTATGGGGTTGAGCTTTGACCACCTGGGGGACCCCGATTCAGGCGCTAACGTTTTGAAAACCTGGGTGCATCTTGCATGATCAGCTGCTTTCGGCCAGCCTGACCTGCTTATGTGATGTTTCTTAAGTTCTTCGGCCTTTCTTAAGTTTGACATAGCTGTTTGCTTATTATTGGTGAATCTTGCAAACACAACACACAATAAGCCTCTTCTTACTTGCATTCCTAAAACAGAAGCGTGAGCCATTATCGCAATGACAAAATGATGTAAAGAATCGTACAGCCCTTGGTGACAATATCAGTCTAGGAACTGCTTGCAGAATTTGCGAAGTTCAAGTGTCCCTTTGATTTCAAAGTCAGACCAAAAAAAAAAAAAAATCCAAGATAGCTTCCTCAATTATCCACTACATAGGAGAATCTTCAAAATTTTGACCACGTTAGCAGGGGCTTTAGTTATCCAGGTGGCAACGGCATTGTCCCTTTGATTTCAAAGTCAGACCAAAAAAAAAAAAAAATAAATCCAAGATAGCTTCCTCAATTATGTGGGTTATCCACTATGTAGGAGAATCTTCAAAACTTTGACCACGTTAGCAGGGGCTTTAGTTGTCCAGGTTGCAACGGCACCTCCAGCCTTTTCAGCTCTCCCACTCTTTCTGAGATTCAAACCTCTTATTCACAGCCCTGTTCCTTTATTAGACCCACCTCTTTAGGCTGAGCCAGTGTTTTCATAAGGGTTACACCTGGACATCAGGTGTCTCATCAAATTGCCTCTGACTGATGCCGACCCAAAGAATGAGCCATCTCCAACATGTGCTGTCCTTAGACGTCAGCTCTTGCAAACTCAAGCCTGTGGCTTCCTTGAGAGAGTCAGCCCATCTCGTATTTGGTCTTCCTCTTTTCCTGCTGCCTTCCACCGTTCCCACCATTACTGTCTTTTCCAGGGAATCTTCTTATGACGTGCCAAAAGTAGGACAGCTTTTTCGGGGTCCCTTTTATCCTGGAGAAGCCACTGGGGGGCAGTGGGATGGGGGGGCAAAGAGTCTTTAATTTCAGCAGATCACCACTGCCGGAATAATTTTAATAACCAGGTGATCTTTGGAAATTAAAGACTTCCTCTCTGTCTCACAGACCTCCACAATGAAAGGGTCAGAAATGTTTAATTTATGAAAAACTACTAGAGCTAATGATGTCATCAGCCTTAAGTTACACTGCTGGATTTCAGCCATAAAATAAAATGTAAGTGAAAGACTTTTTTAAAAAACCCCACTTTGTAGGTATTTTACCTTTGGTGCCAAGCTTTGAAAAGTTACCTGTCAGATGACGACTCAGCATCTCAGACCTAGTACGGGCAGACACCCTGCTCCCTGGGGAATATGGAAGTTGTAGTCTAAAAATTTAATATTTCAGTCTCTTTGGTTTCAAAATTTAAGCACTTGAATTAAAAATTAAAAAGTATTACAGTACTTTGCTTTTTTTAAAAAATAAACCCAATTGCCAGGTAATCAAGTACCCCATGTTTTTGCATGAGTGGACTGGTCAACTGGCTTAACTACTGTGGGCAGATCGGATAATGCTCCTGTAGCTCGTGATGACCGCTTGACAGCTGGGTTGTTGCTACAGCATTACCACTAACCCTGAAACTTTAAGTAGTGAGAAAAGAAGAAAAAAAAATCAATAATACCTTTGCATTCAGTGGAAGAGTTATTGACGTCGGGCGAACTTCATGCTTCAAAAACATCTTGACTCAGTCTTTGCTCTTAAGGAAGCCTGTAAGGTTGACAGGCGGGTTTTGATCAAAAGACCTTGCTTGGAGATGTGTGTTAAAAATGTCACTTGGGCATGAAATTTTTTTAAGTTAGGCTTAAGTGTTTCCTGCTGTTTTTAAATGATGCAGGTTTCTAGCGTTATGGCTACGCTGGGGGTGTACGTGAGAAGACTCTGGCCTGTATCTTCATTGGGGTAAATCCGGATTTAAAACAACAACAAATTTGTTGTGAGTTCTCCTAAGGGCCAGTTTTGGGAAGAAGGGAAGAAACCATATTTTATGATAACATCCTACCAATGGCAAAATCAAACACAGGGATTTAATAGGAAGATAGGAACCCTTCTTTACCCCTCGAAAGACACGGAAAATTAGTATTATTTAATAGGAAGATAGGAACTCATCAAGTCCATGGAGGCAACATGGGGAATCGAACCCCTGGCCACTGGGATACCTAAACCACTGAGCTATCCAGCAGTTGGCTTCTATATAAAAGAGTCAGCCTTGAGCTGAATTTATCCCTTTCTTGACTTGACGTGGCTGTCGTTCTGGTGACCGGCTGTCGTTCTGGTGACTGCGTAATGGATCTCCCTCAGGGATGACTGAGCCCTGTGGCTTTGGAGGCTGCTGTCTCCGAGGCGTCTTTCCCACCAGAGAGGAATCCGGTTTGGCGAGTGGTGGGAAGAGGGGGCGGGAAGAAAAGAAAGAGGCAGGAGGCTGTCTCTTTTAAAAGCTGTTGCTCTTGGAATCTGCAAGCTGTCAGCCTTGTAATGTGATCAGATGTGACCAGAGGAGATACCTCTGCAGCCTCTCAATCCGTAAGATCCACATTCGTTCCACACCGCGAAAGAAGGGGAGAGAAAAAAAAAAGAATCCAGCAATCTGCCTTGCCATACACCAAAAAGGTACCTCTTAATACCTGTCTCCTATTTTAGCAGATCTGATTAATGGTGTGTGCTTTTAAATATATGTATTATTTTAATGCCCTCTGTTTTTAGAAAGAAAGCTGGAGGGTGTTCTTTTTTCCTTGTTCCGTTTTTTGCTTTTGACTTGCAATTTTGAAGCGAAGCCACAAAGGGGGAGCGGGGGGTGTGTGTGTGTGAGAGAGAGAGACACCAAGGCGTATTTCTGAACATTTCCACCTAAAAAGACAGGGGGGTTCAGCAGGATTTAAGCAGATCGTCAAAAGGCTTCTAGTCCAAAAGGACACGGTTAGGGACCTAATTCTGGTGGAACCTGTGACATGTACCAAGAGGGAGGGACGTCGACAAGGACAGAAATGACCCAAGTCGCTTTGGACTTTGGCCAGCGCTTTTAACAGGGGCAGCTGCCAAGTGGTGTGTTAATTCTTAGATTCCCGGGTTGTTTTCTTCGTAAGGAGCTTCTATACCAATCCCTTCATGGTTTCTCTCTCTCTCTCTGTGAGTGAGAGAGAGAGAGAGAGAGAGACATAGAATTAGGCTGTTTGAACCCGAGTTCCATCTCCACGACCCTTCACAGGGAGCTAATCTTTTTAGGATTCTTTTTTAAAACCCTGTTCGAAGTCTTCAACTTCAGACAGCCAAAAAGTATGGAAGGGAAAAGAAACACCGGTTTGTATTCTCCAGAAGTCTTTCATTCAAGGATTTCAGGTCCCAAGTTTCCCAGTTTTAGATTTTGCGTCTTGCTCTTTCTTGTTTATTTGCTTTCCAAAATCGACAGCTTTTATCTGCCCCAATGTTTTCATTCTTTAATGATTTTTTAAAATTTGGGTTTAGTTATGGGCTGCTTGTAGCTACTTGTGTTGTTGTTGTGTATTCCCCCGCATTGTTTTGTCAAATGCCCCGAGAAATTTTTATTTTTGTGTGGTCTTAGGAGTGTAATTAATCAATAAATCGAAACAGAAAATAATAAGGTGGCATGGATCATAGCACAGATTTTCTGGACTCCATTTGGGTGATGCTGCTGTCTTTGGTTTTAGTGATGATGTGAAGCAAGAAGATTTTGGTTTTTTTGGGGGGGCAGGTGGTGGAAAACCAAATAACCCTCTCCCAGACCAGATGGCAAATGGTTGCTGTTACACTCCAACAAACGGCATTAGCACCATCCTTATGCAGCTTGCCTCAGTGTGGCATCATCTGTAGAGTTTGGGACAACAGTTCCTATCATCCATAACTAGTATAGGAATTGTAGTTTAACACACAGCAGAACGTACTCATATACATACATACATGGGTTGTTTAGCTTGCTGGATTAGCCGTAGTTCCCAAACCTTGGGTCCCCATTTGCCCTTGAACTACAGCTCCCAGAAATCCTAGCTAGTGGCAAAGGCTTCTGGGAGTTTTAGTCTATCTAGGGACTCAAGGTTGGGAACCATTGAATTAGAGCAGTGCCTCCCAATCTTGGGTCACCCAGATGTTTTTGGATTGCAATTCCCAGAAGCCTTCACCACCAGCTGTGCTGGCTGGGGTTTCTGTAAGTTGTAGTGCAAAAACATCTGGGTGACCTGAGGTTGGGAACCACGGGACTAGAGGAAGATGTCTTATACTGAGTGAAACCATCGGTCTGTCCTGTTTACCTGGACTGGCAGCAGCTGTCTTCTAGGTCTTCCTAGATTTGCCTGGAGATTTGTAGTATGTCATTACAGTCTTCCATGCAAATACTAATCAGGATTTGTCTGAAACCAGGCTAGCCTGGCCTCTGTTATTTGGGGTTTATTTACAGCATATTTATTTACCAATAACTTTTCTGAACAAAGATGTGAATGAAGTAAACCAAATGTCTTATCATTGGCACCGCTGGTTTTGGGTTAGGTCTACTCAGAGGCCATTTTATTTTATTTTATTAGATTTCTACCCCGCCAACCTAACACCAAAGGTCTACTCTGGGTGGCAAGGGACCTATGACAGCCCACTCCCACCCCAGCGACTCTTGACCCACCTACAATATGAGTTAGACCTATGTACGATTATGGGAGTGGTAGTCCAGAAAACATTTGGGGGGCCAGAAGTTTCCTGCTTCACAACTAAAGCGTTTTGATTTGGGGGTGGCATTTTTTGGCCCCACTGACGTAAATGAGAAAAACCAGTACAAGTGGACCCTCGACTTACAGACAGCTCCACTTACAGACTTTTTGAGTTGGACTTCTCTGGCTGCAAAATTTAGGTTCGACTTACAGCCGGAGCATCGACCTACAGACTGGGGGGAAAAAAAGCAAAATGGAACAAAAACGGCCGGTTACGGGATTAATCGGTTTTCAATGCATTGTAGGTCAATGGAGACTTGACCTACAGACTTTTTGACCTGCAGCCACCGTTCCAATACGGATTAATTCCATAAGTCCACTGTAATGACTTGCATCCTGTTGGATTCAGTGGGAAGTAAACACAGCAAATTCAGAGCCCAGTCTTGGCACACATGTTCAGTTTTTTCAGTCCCATTTACTTCAGCCATGGTTATTCCCAGATAAACAAATGCATGTAAGATTGCTCTGAAAGTTTAAGTCAAACTCTGTTTTTTCTAAATCCCTGGTGTAAATGGGTTTTGGGGGCTTAAGTGTGGAACTGCATTACACTTTTATCATAAAAATCATGCAGATCTTTACTCTGCCCCTGTAGCCTAGGCTCCATCTCTGAAATCCAGCCATGAGGACTAGGATCTTTTATACATCTTGTTTTACTTTGGATACAGCTCATGCGTTCCCATAAAACATAGGTGTGTTTTCAACAAACTGCCGGATCTTTTCCAGTCCTCTTCTGAAAAATGAAAAAAATGGACATTATTTTTCCCGTCTTCCTGCAGTTTCTGAAGTAGATATTTTAAGAGCCCAAAACAAACACGAAACTTCTGAAATGTGGAAATAATATCATTAAAACTGAGTAACTAGCCAAAGAAAGCAATTTAACAGTGCAATATGGAGTGGACTAAGACGCATTTATTAAATGGGACATACAGTAGTGCTTGATAAACATGACGGTTACAGGTTTAGATGTTCATTTTCTGTTGTGAAGTTTTCCTTTCTGAAGGAAACGTGTAGATATTCTTTAGTATATCTTTTTTTTAATCGCTCCCTCACAACACAGCCCATGTTTTCTTGGGAATTGCTATGGCAACGTTTTTCTTGTGACACTCGGTCTTTGTTTTGTGGGTTTGTTGAAATCAAAATGCCTGCTAGTCTTTCGTGCTAAAACTAAAAATCACCCAGTGGGTTGGAGGGGAAAATGGAGCTGGGGGTGATAGCATCATATCAGGTGATAATTCCTTTTTTAAAAGTAACCCTCCAGTTCTCTCTCTTTGTTTAACCAGGAAATTAAAAGACGGATAATAAATCGGGATGCAGGTCTCAACGTATTGAGCTGAAGGTGTGCTGCCTTCTAATGGTTTATTTAGGCAGCTAATATGACCCTGGCTTTTTTTTTATCTGATTTTTATTTATCGACAAGGGGGTTTGTTTGCTTTTTCATTATATCCTAGCTTGTCAGTCAAGCGCAGACTTTATATGCCAAAAGTATTAGCTTCAACTACCTCTGGCATCTTAAGAGGCGGCTGGGCTGAAACCATGGAGAAATGACTGTCGGCCAAATGATAAAAATACTGGTCTGGACAAGACTAGGATTCCCAGTTGTGGTGTAGCGAACAGCGTGACAGACTAGGACCCTGGAGGAACAGGGTTCGAATCCCCGCTCCGCCATGGAAACTCACTAGGGTATGTAGAAGTGGTAAAATCACTCCTTAAATATCTCACTGGCCTTGAAAGCTCTTTTAGGGTCCCTATAAATTGGTTCTGACTTGGTGGTCCAAAACACATACGGAGAGAAATAAGACTAGTAGCTGTGTGCCCTCAAGTAACTTCTGACTTATGGTGACCTTTTCCCAGTTTTCTAGTTATGTATTGAGTATTCAGAAGTGCTTTACCATTCCTTTCCTCTAGAGGGCAGCCTGGGACAGTGCAGCTTGCCCAAGGCTACACAGGCTGGCTGTTCTCCCTGGAAGCACAGTGGGGGAATCGAACTCCCAACCTCTGGCTCCACAGTCACAAACTCTGAGCTATCCAGCTAGCTACTGGACGAGATAAACCTGGCCAAAGTTGTCAACATCCTATATTTGTCCTATAATCTGAAGTCTTCCGATTGAGTTGTACGGAAGAACGCATTCGTGACACTTAGGGAGCAGTTGAACGTCTGGGGAATACGTAGCTCAGTTGGCGGGAGAGATTTGCGATTGAATCTCCTGCTTCCTTCTTGCTTTCCCTTTAGCACAACTGTGTATGTGTGAGTTGTCATTTGGTCCTGGACTGTGTATGTGTGAGTTGTCATTTGGTCCGGGGGTGGGGGGGGAGAGCCAGCCTGTGTAGCCTTGGGCAAATGACATAGTTTCAGAGCGACGCCGGAAGAAGAGAAAGCCATTTTTGTGTATTCTCGCCATCAGACAGCATTGACTTGTTGATTATTCCCTCCTAGCGCCACATCAACTTTGAAATAAAAGACCATGCGCGGTCTGTTTGAACCTTTTTTTTATGCACAGTCCCTGCGAGCCACACATGGACACATCTATCTTTGGCAGCTCCTTTTGAAGGTCAACTGTGATTAAGACTGAGCTGATTTCTTGGAGTACTTAGGACAATACGCTTATTTATAGACCCGGAGAACAGGTCTGGTCTTTTTGACTACAGTGGGTCGATGGCCCTCCCCTCCGCCTTTCTGGAGTACGTTTGTGTGTGTTTGTGCTTAATTTCCGTGTCGCTTTGACAATGGCCCTTGGCTGTGCGGAGACTTCGTGAAAGGGCTAATTAATTTTGCAGCGCGGCTTTGAAAAATAAAGCCGCCGGGTAATTGCGAAGTGTTATTATGCGGTGCCGCGGAGGACTCTCGCTTGAACGCCAGGCACATTTTTTCCCAGGGAGACGGAGAGTATTTTTCCCCACAGA